GAAGATAATACACCCTAGCTTATTTCACCTGATCATTAAACACCCTCGGTTACATTACTCTCTTGTGAATAATTACTACGAGTCACTTATAACTCAGGCCAAGATATTATTGGGAGCACTGAGACGCTTGATGAATGTGTATGATAAACTTACTCTCGCATTCCGACTTGGGATAACTCCTCGATGTAATCCAATTTTGGCAAGAAAAGTTGTTCATTTAGCGGTACATTAACGGCATTTGATCACCCATTTACCCTTTCTTGCCTCCCTGATGTAAGGCTGGGCCGCTGCTAACCCTCTATCTGAATTTTGATTTAAAGTATTCAGGAAATTTATCTCTTGTTGGAGTAATTAATCACAAACACTGGATACCTGAATCAGACACTTTTGAGGTAAATATCAACAGATCTTACCATAACTAGTCTTCCTAACTCGTACTACACTAACCATCTCAGAATAACTGACATCATTTCTCCCTCAGGATTTTTATTTGTCTAAAGTGAACACGTAAAGTGCCAGTCTCACACCTGCAGTTAAAGAAGAAAATATTAATCCCAGAACCTCTGAAAATCCTCACCAAGATCCTGACAAGAGAGGTTAAGGATTAGTCGGTAGGCTGGAGATCTTGGCCTCGACTTTGGAAGATTATAAAAAAAATTCTTCATGGCTGTAGATATGAAAAATCATCTTTGGGGAGAAAATAAAAGATAACGCAAAGACACGAATTAACTAATATCAACCTTAAATTAGAGATAACTGTAATTAGAAGCATCCTTTAACATCTTCAACAAGAGAGACAATGATAAACAAAACTTAAGAGACCACTTCTGTTTTATGTTGAAGACCGAGGAACATGTCGGTGTGGTCCTCAGGCAGTCTTGGTTATTCATCACTGTTAAACACCAAGTTTGTTTTGACCACGAGAGAAGCCACAAGGTTCTTTCAGAGGAGTTTAGACCCCTAGTGGTGGGTTTAATGGCGGTGCTTCTCAGGAGAAATGGTACTTTTGCCCATTTGTTATTCATAGGACAGAGATGGTGAAGGCTGGTGAGTAGGACAGGTAAGACTATAATCTTTGTGGTCATGTGAATATATAACCATTTTTAACATCCCTCAGAACTGAATATTGTATAAAATATATATACCTAGATGAGACACATTTCTTAGCTTTCTGTATTTCTTAATTTTCAACAATGGAAATATTAAAATACTTTAATACCAAGTAACATGAATGATTTTTTTAATTACATTTTGTTTACGCTCAGAATTTTGCTACTCCTAATAATCTAAGAAATAATTTACCACGAGATAAAAAGAATAATTTCAGTTTCATGTAAATATTTCATTTTTTTGTTATTTAAAAGCTGTAAAGTTGGGTATAGTGAGGTATGTTATAGTCTCTTTCTTCTTCTATAGTGAGAGGATATAGTTGTCTCATTGTTATACATCACCTTAAAGTATGATAAAATGTGAAGTGCATACTCGAGAGATTTTACATACAGCGAAACCTCCATATAACGGACTTCGATTTAATGGTTATAGTACCCGTTAAATGTAGGTTCCATATCCAACGGAACCTCGATTTAATGGACTCTCTCCTCCATGTAGGGGTTCCACTGTAAAGAGAACGACATTTACTGTATCACCTTAATAACAATTCATCTGGGGGAAAATAACAAATTATTTCAAGTTTTCAGTAATATTTCACCCCCGAGGTCAGGAAAAAGTCGAGGAGGAGGAGGAGGAGGAGGAGGAGGAGGAGGAGGAGGAGGAGAATGAAGAAGAGGAAGAGAAGAAGAGGAAGAGGAAGAGGAGGAGGAAGAGAAGAGGAGGAGGAGGAAGATGAAGAGGAGAATGAAGAGAAAGAGGAGGAGGAGGAGAAAGAAGAGAAGCAGGAAGAGGAGAAGGAAGAGAAACAGAAGGAGAAAGAAGAGAAACAGGAGGAGGAGAGGGGGAAGAGATAGACATGATAGGAGACACACCATCTGTTATTTTTAGCTTCCTCCGTTAACTCCTTCCGCCCCTCTCTTCCTCCAAGCCTTCTCTCCTACTCCTGTGCCACCTCCCCCCTCCTGTGCCCCTCTCCCCTCCTGTGCCACCTCCCTCCTGTGCCACCCCTCCCCCTCCTGTGCCCCTCCTCCCTCCTGTGCCACAACCCCCCTCCCCCCACCCTCCCCCCCTCCCACAACCCCTCCCCCTCGTGTGCCACCCCCTTCTCCCTTATATTCACTGAAACATCCTCCCTGGCGTTACTTCCCCACCTACCAATTCTACACTCCCCCTCCCCACCTCCCCATCACAGTGTCTTATATGAGGAAACCATTACTAAAAAGTTACATTAAAATCATATACTCTTGGTGGACAGTCTCTTTATTACCATCCACAAACTCATAAGTGTTCTAAATTAATCCGGGGCAGTAATCCCACCCTCCCCCGAGTGCGCGCGTGTGTGTGTGTGTGCGTGTGTAGAAAAGGGTAGGAGAGTAGGTCACTAGGTATGCATGCTCTGGGGAGGGGGTAGGGGGAGGAGGGCAGGTCAGTGAGCGAGGAGAAGAAAGTGGGAGGAGAGATAAGAGGGACCCCCCAACCCCGTAGGTCACTGAGCAGGGTTGTGGGGGGAGGGGAGGGGGAGGGGGGGAGGGCTGCTGCATTTGGGGTAGGAGGGGCGACATCACTACCTAGGGTCAAAGGTCGTTAGTGAAACATTTACAGCTGGTGTTTGGGATGTACTGGTTGTGATGGTTGATGGTGATGTCTGTGGCAGATAAGGTCTCATGGTGATGGTGTGTATGATTTTAGAAGTTGCGGTTGCTATGGTTGCCTGGTTGTATTAGTTTTGACTGTTAATGAAGGAAAAATATTGAGGGAACAGTTAACCGCGGCAGTGTGTGTGTGTAGAGGAGGGTGGGTGATGGTGGCTTGGGTGGTGGGAGGGACGAGGCGTACGCAAGTGTGTGTGTATGTGGTGCGACGGTGAGAGAGAGAGAGAGGCTTGTGGTGTGAGGAGGATGAGACAGGGAGGGGTGGGTCTCAATAACTCCTCAGGCCAGGACAGAGCTTTTTTTTTACGGGGATCAGCCCACCCGGACACAGGTCACTGACCCACATCGGGGCCTGGGGGGCGAAAATGTAATAATAATAAATAATAAATACAAAAATGAAAAAAAAAGATCAAAAGTGAGAAACGATATATGTAATGTTGTGTTGTCAATGGTAAGAGAAACAATTGAGACCCAGCAATTGCGTGTAAATGAAGCAGAAAGTCAGATCAGCAACCTGGGACTTGGTCACAATTTTCGTGATGCCATATGGCAGCAGGGTCTACCATTAGACAATACATTATGCTTCCAATATCTTCCCAGGCAGTAGTACCTCCCTGTTTGGTGGCTGCCTACTACCTACCAGCACCGCCCTCCATACCTCCCTCCCTAACTCCTGATGGATGGTCCCTCCTTCAACCTTCGTCCATCTTTCCTTCACTCAACCCTTCTGATAGATGGTCATTCCCTCCATTGTTTTCCTATGATAAATTGACAGTCTCGAACTTAGTGAAAATACCTAAACCACCTTTACGCTATACGGTATTTAATTTATTTCACATTTCATAGTAATGGACAAGTTTGTGTAGATTTATAAAATAATTACTAAGTTTTATTTTTGCTTGTAGTTGAAGGACCAATGACCTTACTGACTCCAGGTAATATTTGTGATGATTTGACAATAAGAACAACTATACAAGAATGTAATAAGGAAAGTATATTATATCATTACAACACAGCATTGATGCTCGGTGACGTTGTGAGTACTCTTGATACTTCCGGCTGAAGAAGGTGTCAGTTGCCGCAGAAAGTGTATTGTTTTAATTTTAGTTTCAAGCTTAAAATGTCGGTTTCATATCCAAATGGAAAATCACATTAGTGTAAATATTTATTACAACCTACTACAACCTACTATGTATAATGTAGACCTTCAACATATTACCAAACTAAAGACACCATCGATGAAAACCAACTATACTGACTATACTGAAGGATGTTTTAACACTGTCTGCGGGAGGGCTAGAAATGCTGTTACTGAACATCTTCAATAACTGAACTATTGACCAAACTCATTGCTCTAAAAATTTATAGAAGTCATTACCACACACAGCCTCACCATCACTAATACCCTCGTCTCATTAATTACTTGTACTCTCTGGAAGTGATTTATTGATTGATCATTTTGGTTTTAGATTCACAGCTTCTCCAGTTTCAGTGTAATTGGCCACTTCCCAGCTGCGCCTCCCACCACCCTTCAGATGAAACTGAAGCAAGATGCCCGGTGGAGTACAATAGTAAAGACCACAACACAAACTGATCGATTTGTTCTGATAATTGTGCCGTTTGACAGTTTACATATAATAAGCTTTTATGTAAATTATTTTTCTTTTGTCAATTTATTATTTTTGATGTTACGTATGGCGGCTGAGTTAATAGAGTGCTCGCCTACTAGCCCATACAGTACACAGTATATACAGTATAGGCTATACAGCGAATTGTATCACACTAAAAATACAAGTCACTATCAAAGACTTTATTAATATCAAGGTACAAAGTTACACACAGTACATTTATATACATCTTCTGAGAATGTGTAATTCTTAAACAATAATTATGTACCAAGACTGTACAGTACGGACTGACTGTAATAAGAAAAAATAATATGCTAGGTTAGGTTAGTTTAGGTTAGGTACCTCCAGGTGGGTGAAGCCTTGACTGTTTGTGGTGATCTGGCCAAGTGATACATTTAATTTCGCATTAAAATTTTGCTTAGATAAAACTGCAATCATGAACAACTTATTAACTTCCTTTACATTCCGTATACACAGTACCTAATGTTCACAAATCCCACGTAATTCAGCGGAACAATCATTATCAATGAAGTAATAAGAATAACTTTCGTCGATCAAGAGAGAGTTTTGTGACGACCCTCCGTCAGGGTCAGAGTGAGAGCAGTTATGCCACAGTGGCATCCCCATCGTCACCGCTGAGCCGTCCAGCCACTTCCACGACCCTTCAACCTCCTCGTCGGTCGCTCCCAGCCAGTAATCTTTGGCTGTTGACTCTGTAATATAAAATGTAATGTAAAATACGTCTTTTATTATTATTACCTATCTATATTAGACGCAACTTACGTTAGTTAAGGCTAAGTTAAGTTATAAAAGGAATACTTTATTTGGCCTGTCGTGGCTTCTTTGTGATTAAATGATAAAACTGGTAATAGAAATATAGATGTTCAGAAACTTTCGGAATATTTCATAAAATGTTATCAATGCGAAATAATTACACTGAAACTAAACAGTGTTCGTTGGACTATTAAACAATTCAAGACCTGCGAGGAATTGAAATAAGAGTGAAATTCGGTTATCGACACCATCTTTCCCGTGACCTTTAATTGGGCATTTACTGTAGTGAGTGAGTGAGTGAGTGAGTGAGTGAGGGTGGGCGAAGATACATGATTCAAGAACAGGATTTTAACGTACATTGGGAAAAAAAGAAGCTCCGGGTTAAAAAGTGGATTCATTCATTAAGTTTATAATCTTGGATACATTCGGTACATCTTAGCGGCAGTAATTGATAGATACTAGTAAGTGATTGGGATATTCTTAATGTTGTCACTAAGAAAAATATCGTATTATTTGGGGAACAATATCAGCAGGCCCGAGTGTGTCAATACTGACAGTCAAGTTTGGTATAATGCTGACATCTCTCGTGGGTTTGAGGTATATAAACTTTTTCATTTAAACTAATCCACCATACCTGTGTAAAGGATACCTGATATATATATATATAATTTTTTTTTTTAGTTTATTCTATAATAAAACTGGAACATTGGATTTAATTTATCTATAAACACGAAAAACGGTAACTATTAAAAATGTTCAAGGAGGTTGAGTAGGCAGGGAGACTCACCATGTTCGTAAATATAGTCAATAATGTCCCCCAGAAGGTTGGCGTCTTTGACAATGGCCAGGTGACCGTCCAGGGACTCTCACACGTACTTCATGTTGTACCAGCTGCTCGGTGTTATTAAGGCGAACAGCAAACAACGACCTCCAATCTTGGTGTATGGCTCAGTGAATGGTGTTTAACCCTAAATAAAAATGTGTTAAAAGGAGGAACAATTAGAGTTTGGAGAGCCACAGCACACCCTTCCTCCACCACCACCACCACCACCACACACCCCTCCTCCTCCTCCACCACACACCCCACCACCACCACACACCCTCCTCCTCCACCACCACACACCCCTCCTCCACCACCACCACACACCCCTCCTCCTCCACCACACACCCCTCCTCCTCCTCCTCCACCACACACCCCACCACCACCACACACCCCTCCTCCACCACCACACACCCTCCTCCTCCACCACCACACACCCCTCCTCCACCATCCATCACCACCACCACCACACCCCCCTCCTCCTCCTCCACCCACCACCACACACCCCTCCTCCCCCCTCCACCACCACACACACCCTCCTCCCACCACCACACACCCATCCTCCACCACCACACACCCCTCCACCACCACACACCCCTCCTCCACCACCACCACCTCCACACACCCCTCCTCCTCCTCCTCCTCCTCCTCCACCACCACACACCCTCCACCACCACCACACCCCCACACCACCACCACACCCCCCTCCCCACCACCACACCCCCTCCACCACCACACACCCCTCCTCCACCACACCACACCCCTCCTCCACCACCACACCCCCCCACCACCACCTCCACCACCACACCCCTCCACCACCCCACCACACCCCCTCCCCACCACCACACCCCCTCCTCCACCACCATATACACCCCTCCTCCACCACCACACACCCCTCCTCCACCACCACACACCCCTCCTCCACCACCATATACACCCCTCCTCCACCACCACACACCCTCCTCCACCACCATACACACCCCTCCTCCTCCACCACACACCCCTCCTTCACCACCACACCCCCTCCTCCACCACCATATACACCCCTCCTCCACCACCACACACCCCTCCTCCACCACCACACACCCCTCCTCCACCACAAGACAACACCCTCCTGTCTTAACTCAGTAAAATAACTTAATATAAACTGTTAAACTGCCTTCGTCTTTATACTCATTTTCCCTCATTAACATCAAAAGTCACCTTCACTATTGCTTCCCTTTAAATGTGTTGATATATCTACGTAACAATCAATCAATGAAGCTATGACTGTGAACTTAATGATTAAATGTGTGGGACTTACGTGGGGGTGGTGTTGCTGTCGGTAGACGTGTCAGTCAATGAGTCCAAAGCATTAGTCGCCAGAGAAGAACCTGTGTAATGTAAATGCTATACAAAGTGGTTGATAATACATGCTATTCGTTCATAACACAGAGTGAAAGTACTGTTCAGACGGAAGTAAAAAAGAAAATTCAATGAATAATACAAGAGAGGGGGAAAAGTCTTACCCAGGATTAGAAATACGATGATGTTCAGTCCCATGGTGCTCTCTGTGTGCTGCTGTTCCTGCTGCTTTCTCTGACGAGGCAGATGTGTTGTGGTGGCGTCGCTGCATACCCTTCATATACGACATCTTGAAAGATAAAAACTCCGTAGCTCCATGTACAGGTTCTCACGGGAGGTATGTCGTATTTTCGTGTTACGAGACACCCGGCGCGGCCCCTCCACCAGCAACACTCGCTCTGCTAGACTTTATATCTAGCCAGTGAAGAGTCACAACAGAGAGTAGGGACACGCTTCCTCCTCTCGACTCAGGGAATGCTCGCTTCCCTTCTTCATGATACACAAAGTAATCTCGAGAAGTATGAACTCTGTCTCATAAAGGTACAAAACATGGAACCTTAGCGAGAGTTTCCATTTTATATACATCAACTTTGGCATATTTTGCATATTACAGGTAAAGATTTAGCTTGGAATTATAAACAGTCAGCCTTCATTACCGTAAACAAAATGCCCACTTCTGAAGAATAAAATGCTCCTTCATGCCCATCAGTAGCTACAACAGTCGTCTTATGTGAAAATTTTCTGTTATCCATCATACAAAAAAAACATAAACATTCACGGTCTCAAAATGATTCGTCCTGAAGTACCTTGAAAGTTTTGAATGCTTCTTCCTGAGATAATATTTTGTCTTTAAATTTGAAAATTCTCCAGAAACTGCCCCACATGTGTTGATCCCCACGACGCGATGCCTCCCTCCTGATCATTTCCTCATAAGGTGCAAAATTTTGACTACTGAGAAGAAATATAATTAAGAGAAAAAACTTTTATGAAAGACGAAAAACTCCTCGGTAAATTATTAAATGTTCGCTCGATGGCACAAAATGGTCCTTACTAAGTCACAAAGTTTTTTGGACAAGAAAATGTTTGAAATACAGCTCGATCCTCAGAGTGGCCAAGTTGCATTACCGAAAAATGTTCCTTCTCTTGCACAAAATGTTAATATCTCTTATTGGGGTGTAAAATTCTATCCTGTGGCACACTGAACATTAACAATGAGTTAAAATTCCTCCGACTTTAGACAGACAAAAATTCTCAATGATAAAAAAATGCCTCATTTTATTTACTATAGTCACTCAAAGGGGCCGCTCTCACTGAGGCCGGAATAGGACATATTCTGATGCAAATTGTCCGGAGACACACGATATGTGACGCCGTGGAGTGTGTTATGGTTTCCTCACCTTAGCTAATACTTGTTACACGACTCGCTGTCTTTCTAGGGAGAAGGAAACTGTCTTCCCTCTAGAATTAAGTCTGAAATATTCGAAAGATATGTGATTCGAATACTGTGTGAGATATGTGTTGTTAACTTGACTCACTCGTTCGAACAGTGTCATCGGGCCCTAATGAGGAAAGAAATTTTCCTGTCTGGAATGATAATAAACTTTTCCCTGTTGGGGTCATTCAATGATACAATAATATGTCCTCCCGAGGCACAATGCTCCCTAATGCTGCGGAAAATACTCCTTGGCGATGCACAACATCCCATACTAAAACACACTTTCTTTATCACACTTATAATATGAACTTGATCAGTCTCACTTATGTAGACCGATTACCCTCGTGGTTTAATTTGAGTTACATTACTGACACGTACGAAATACATCATTGAACACGTCCCTTTGTTAAACAGTGTGTCATTTCGAGCGAGTTACTGATAATTCCTGAAGAACGTATCACTCCGAGGAACAGGACCCTCAGTATATTGTTTGAGGAACCGGTTGGTGTTTAGACATAACTCACGTCCTGATGTTTAACTACAAACGCACCAGGTAAGACGTCTTGTGTCTTGCTCACACAAATATATCTCCACCAATGCTCTACGATGAACAAAAGTCTGACAAGATACGCAATTTGCAGATGACAATATACAGAATTAACCAAACAGGAAATGCCCGAGTTTACATGTAGCCATTACATGTACGGAAAGTTATTTGGGAAATTCCAATAAACTTAGGAACCCCAAATGTATAAACAATATAAGGTCACAAAATAAAATTAAATATAACTACACTATAGATTTCAAGACACAAGAGCACTTAGGTAGAGGGAACCAACAGAGGTTAATGATTGGACAGGTATACTAACACAGGTGAGAGGGTCAGCGGACTTCACACAGTACCTGTAGTAACCTGCAGGTGCTGAGGATGATTTTTCATTTCATGATAAAGTTCTTGCTATTGTTTCTCATATATGGTGGTGACAGTGTTGTAAAAGAAAACAGACCATAGATACAATTAGTGATGAGTAATGACATCGTTTACCTGTATGAGACTGTAATTACCTGCATTTGCACTATCTCGTAAATATTGCTTTATTGTTACAGTATCCATTAAAGTGAGAATTAAGTCTACAAGTTTTCTTTAAGATATGATTACGTTTTTAGTGAGTGCACCTTAAACCTTTCGATGAAATTCACGACAACGTTATCTTCTATCTAATCTTCGCAAATCTAAAAAAAAATATATTTATTACATTTCCTGTACGGAGACGTTCAGAGGGTAAGAAGGGTACAAGACCAGACTATGTTGACGCTACTGATGATGAAAAGAACCAAGAATTTCCCCTGTTGTTATCAGTCGCTGCTTCTGGTGACATGATATTGACAAAGTTTTAGAAAAAGTTTACAAATCGACGTCTGTCTCTCTAGCAGCTGCTGTTCTCGTGTGTATAAGACCGCCATGACTTATGTAATATTTAGGGTGTCCAAGAAAAATGTCCCCGCCTCTCTGCATGCCCCCCACCCCCCTCCCTGCCTCTCACCCTGCCTGCCTCCCCCCTCCCCGCCTTCTCCCTGCCTGCCCCCTCTCTGCTTGCCGCTCCCCCCCCTTCCCTGCCTCCTTCCCTCCACATATTAAGATTCCTGAGAGTTTCAATACTTTGAATCATTGTGTGATTTACCAAGGACATGTGTAGCGGCACCTGAGTACATGTATTTGTATATATTAGTTTTAAAGTCTTATCAACCATATTGGTATTCTTCTATATAAGAAGTATCTTTATGCATATCATTAATATTGAGTTTATATTCAACATCGATTTAACATTTTTTCCAAGTGAAATTGTCTAGGAATCTTTTCCACTAATCATTCACAAGTTTACGCTAGTATTGTGACGCTGCCGTAAACGTCACCACAGAGGTAAAGGAACTCTGAGGCAACTGTACAACATGATCCTCTGGTTCAAGACATGTTCAAAGTTGTTGTTGTTATAAATTAAACCTAAAAGAACAAAATGTACACCTGTCCTGCACTTGGTATAACTACTTGCGACACAAAATGTTGTGTCTTGTGGTACAGATATATACCTCCCTTGAGGAGCATTACTGAGAGACAGAATGTATTACCCTGGAAAACAAAGTACACTCGGAAATCATAATCTCTAGCCCTCCTGGGTCGGTGCTGGAGGTTAGTACAGTGTCCTTTCTGGACGGGGGCCCACTCTAACTATCACGAGGCAACACACGCACGAACACACATTCATAGTACGGCTGTATAGATGATATTATGTATAAATATTGTATATGGCATTTTATACTCTGCATTATCTTCATTATATATGAACACGAAGAAAAATTACCATAGGTTGTAGTTACGAAAGTATGAATGGAAATAAACACTTCCAAACCACCCAGTGAATCCACACAACGTTTACAGCGCTTGTGTGTGTGTGTGTGTGTGTGTGTGTGTGTGTGTGTGTGCCAGACCACGATGCTTCCACTACACCCCATCTACAGTATATCTTTTATTTAACTACATATTTCAATAACCTTAAATTACATGTGGATCAGTCACTCCTCATTTGACACACTATAGTGTAATACTTTGACCATCCCACCTGGGCACATGGAGGCCCACGGTAACTCTCACCGGGCAACATACGCACGAACACACAAGTTATATGAACCCTTCCAGGCTTCACTATCATTATCATGTTATGTTCATTGTGCTCTGTATCTTGGTAACTAGTCATAGTATCAATACATGGAGGAAAATCTATATTAATCATACTGTAATATTGCATTTTATTGCAAACCGTAAAAAATCTCGTTTAACCATTGGACGTGAGGGAAAGCACCACACACTGGAGTTACGAAATGAAGAACCAAAGGACATAGGAATGACCGACCTGACCATTTTTCGTTATAATAAAAATCCCATCCGGCGATTTTTTCATTGGGTAAAATCCTACTGTACGACCAAAATAATGATAGTTACAAGAAGCTGGTAATTAAGTGAAAGGTCATCACCCATCATATGAGTGAAAACAGTATAGATGGTCACCAATTTCAACATTTACTTTAAAAAAAAAGAAACGTCCCATACAACATCGGCATTGAACTCCAGACCAGCTGGACTGTGATGGTCAACCCGGCAGTGTAGTCGCGACGCCTCTACCATATAAACTTTATAAGGTATATTTATTCATCTATAATAGGTATTTCGTGTGTGTACTCTTGTGAGGTGACCACAGTGTTCAGACGTATCTAGTAACTCGTGTTACAACAAACTTTATATTTTTCACATAATAGCACATAGGAAATAAATAATAAGCAGTATACATGGAATGATGTACTGTACGTCTTTCTGTGGGAAAAACTGATCTGTTTGATTTACTAAATTCTCCACGATTACGCTCTGTTCTGAAGCATAAAATACGTTTTCTTTTTTCCGACACGTAATAGAGTATATCTTCGTGAGATACATGTGTTCCTATTGTAAGGAAAAAATACGTTTCGTGATGCAAAAATATTCCACCTTAAGATACGACTATAGCTCCCACACCATCGATTTAATGTCTGTTTAATATTCCTTTGTTTGAGGGAGGAAACATGCCAACGAGAGTCGAAAATACGTCCCACAGGACCACACTCCCGCTGTGCCTGAGACAAGGATAAAGTCCAGCAGAAACAGTGGCATGTTTACATGCGAAAAAAATAAGTTCGTTTAGTCTCAAATTTATTCATCTTGAATAAAAAAAAAGCTTCTACTGTCCACAACTTGTAAATATTTTTCTATGTATAATACTGTAATGTATACCGATGTTTATATACATGTTGACGTGTGTTTCATATCTCTCTCTGGCGCGCGTATGTGTAGACCTAGGATTCCCTCCTCTTGAGTTGCAACACACGACCAAACCACTTTAACACTTTTACTTGTCACTCCTGGTCATGTTGTGTTGTTTACGCTTTTCACCTTGTTCCTGAGTCACACTCCTAGTATCCACCATAACATCACGTAAAATTAACAACTGGGCATCCA